CTACGATAAATGAAAAATGTGTTAATTAATACATTATAAATATTAAATTTATTAATTTAATATATTAATTTAAATATTAATTTTGAAGAAATATGGCTTACAACTTGTAGTGTTTGTCGTATTAATTTTTTATAATATCTGTATTACCTTCTAATATAATAATTCATCTTGTATTAAATTAACACAAAAATTTGAATCGACCATTTAGGACATGTAAAATATGTTTAACATAAATTTTCTAATTATGTTATAATTATAAATTAAAAATCCTTATATATATGATTTTATTTTGTTTCACCATCAAACAGTTTTATTTCACTTCTTTGTAAATCTATTATATATAATGTAAATCTTTATAAATCTATTATTAGGTGTAGTAAAAAAAAATCCATTATTTTTCCATTCAATTTCATGCAAAACCTAATATATATAGTGTAACACCTAATATATATAGTGCAAAACCTAATATATAACACTAATGTATTATTATAGCTGCGTGAAATGGAACGCAGCCTATATCTCTCGTCGCTCCATCGTTTGATGTAAAAAACTTCAATGGAATCTATTTGTTTCATCATTATATTCATGCGTAAAGAGTTTGAATGAGTCTCGAAACTTGCGCAGAATTCGAGACTTGCGTCCGTCATTGTCGTATCGATCGACTGCAAAGTTAGGACAGTATTCATAGTCAGGTCTTATATTTAAAATCGTCTTAAGTATAGTCTCAAGATGTTTCATGAACCAATCAGAGACTGATATTCATAATCAGTTCTTATATTTAAGATCGTCTTAAGTACAGTCTCAAGCTGTTTCATGAACCAGTTAGAGGGCTGTATTATAATATCTTAATTAAGACATTACTTAAGACTTAAAATAAGAACGAATATGAATATCGATAAAACTCTGGTTGCTGAAGCTATTTTGTAATAAAATGGCATCTACCACATCGCGAAATTTTGTATTTTATTGGGCGAAATATACAGTTTTGTGATAAGTACAATTATACGTATATATTGTATTACGTTTTGTAATCACACTTCTGTTTAATATTTATAACTTAACATACATTAAAATTCTGATTAAAAAATAATTGATAATAATAAATATAAAATTATAAATAATTAAAATAATAATATAATACATAAATAAACGAAAGTTAAAATGCGAAGCTACTTTATTGTAAAATGCAAAAATTATTATTAAAAAAGGATTTTTTATACGATTAATTACTTTCAATTCCACAAAAAAAATATCAAAAATTAATTATAAAAAAAATTGAGA